CTATTGGGAGAACTCAGTATGTTTTTTCTGGCTCTATCTGGAGCTCTGGTTCCAGAGGATCATAGAAGGCGGGAAGCCCCTTTCTAAAAAGAAATATTGTGTATAATTATATATATTGCTGTATATAAAATAATGTTTTTGATAGTAATAATGACACCATGCTTAAATGGTGCTTTTTATGCGCACATCTCTGGTTTTGCTCGTGCTTCAGAGAAGTATTTTTCTTCTGTAGAGCACAGGTGTATCTTCAGGTTCTTTATTTGAAGTATGTCATCTTGAGTTGTTAGCATCTCCGATATGGTGCTTTATAATTAACAACTCACCTGTTCGGAAGGTGTTCTACAAAAAAAGATGGTGTGCCTGTTTTCAAAGAGTGCCTGCAGCTAGAAGTGAATGGTCAGATGAGGAAACAACACAGTTAAGGAGGTCTAAAGCCATGGTCTAACAAGCAAAAGTTGAAGTTAAAAAACCTGATCCTGCATTGGGCTCTGCTTTGTCAGTTCTAGTCTGTTTTAGTATTTATGTTTATTGAGAGAAGACTCTGAAGGGGGTTTGGGAATTTCCAGGTTTTTCACTACAGTACTTTTTTTGCCGTATTGGAATCCTAGTGGAAGATCTGTCCCATGGGAGTCCTGTCTATTTTCTTGTCATGGGAAACTATAAACATCTTGTTAAGAAAGAAAGATCCATGAATTTAACAGATTGTACTTTGACCTTCACAATCAGAATTAACATGCCCTATTAATTTCTTTAAGTCTAATTCCTCAGCTGAAACTCTGCTAAGTGAATAAGAGCTAAAGAAACAGCTGTGGGAGCTTCTGAGAGATTTTTGGACTCATATTTGCAAAAATATTTGTGATGTTCCAGAGTCACCTCTAACATGGCAGCAGCAATTTCATTTTTCTCTTTCATCTGTGTTACTGTATTTTATACCCTGACCTTTTGCTCTTCCTTTGCCTTTCTAAACTTACATGAACCATTCTAAGCATGCTACGAGGTATTTAACACCCTTCAGTATTGTCTTTCACGATAGCACTGGCATACTAAGGTTTAGTTTAGAAGTTTGTTGAAGCAGGTGAGCATTTCTGTTCGCTGCTTATTCAGATGCTTTCTGTCCTGGCTGCTGGGGACAAAACACATGATTCCTTTTCATATTTCTATTTTTTCCTTTGGAACAGCGCAGACAAGTAACATACTCGGGTTCTGCCTCAAAGTAGTAATGGATCAGACACCTGTTTCTGAAAATAATCCCCACCATATACAAATTCATGGATACCTCATCGTGGACAATTTATTAAATGCACAAAGTACCCATTTCCCCAATACCCTTTTTATATTAAATTTCTACTGGTTGTTCATTTTATTACATATTGGTCAATATTCTCCCTGCTGTCTGAGGAGCTCATCATTAACAATCCTTGTATCATTTTTTGAATGATGGTATTTATGACTGCAGATTTCTTAAATGTGAAGGGTCCCAATCCTGCCATTACACAGTTTGTATTATCACTTGTTTCATTTATGTAGCCTATGTTAAAATCACCTAATACAATTATTTCTGACTATGCCCTAAAAGCCTGCAGATGTTTTCCCAATCTGCCTGTAATATTTATAGCTGATCCCTTTGCTCTGTAAACAGTGAGCAATGTGGGGTAAATTAACCCTAACAAATGCCTTAATTGTGAAAATCCTCAGACCTCTTTGGCTTGCTGAGATTGTGTGTGAGCTGAGGAAGGCTGTTGCCATATATAATTTTCTTGTACTTGTTGCTTGCAAACACACGTGTACTCTCTTCAAAATGTTTCATCAGACACTGTTCTTTTCTAGTAGTTACTGGCTAAAATTGTGAATACCTTATACTTATGTTTGATGTTTTAATATCATATGTGTTTGAGGCCGGATTTCCAAAGCTATGCCTTGCCCAAAATCTGAAATTCTGTGCTTGCTTCAGCCCTTAATTGTGATACTACTTTGAGTTTTCTGAATTGTGTTCCAGCATATCATTGCTTGATACTCATATTCATAACAGTTGATACAAACATAGTCTTGGGAGAAAGTCCACAGAGGGTGAATGCATCTAGCTGAACACCCCACCTTTGCTGGCAGGGGACCTGTAAAGCTTTTCCCACATCCAAGTCCCTTGCAGCTAGTGCTCCTGTTCTATTTCTGTGGCATTCGTCTTATTAAAAAATAAGCAATAATACTATAAGAAACAATCCTCCGAAATATGCTGCTGTGCTGATTATCTTTTTTTCTTACATTCCATGTTGGACACAATAGTGCCTTGTGTTTGTGCGGTTGTATAGTTTTTGTTATATGCAATGAGAGTTTGTTTTCATAGTGACTGTGTGCAATAGCTGAGTATATGTGTTTATTATTATCATGTTGGGCTTTAACGGGCTGATCTTGCAAGTACTCTGCTTGCTCAATACCCTCCTCCCACCAAATGCTTGTGAGATCTGCAGCCTACAAATATACAACAGCTATAATAAAAATAGCAGTTTCTCACACGGAATATCACAATGTGCAGCTTAACTTTTCCTTTGAGAATTAATTGATGAGTGAATAAACAGATTCTTGATATTTAGAAAATGGGATTACAGTATGAAATAGAAATGTGTTTGTGAGATCTGGGGAGAAATTACACTTGCAGTAGTTCTAACAATTTACCTCCATGTGCTAATAGTAACTTCGTGTGAATAAGAGCAGGAGAAACAGTGGAGAGCAATAAATACTTTAAAAGTCTGCCTGAGAGGAATATAGACTTTCTCAACTACTGGTATGGTCCCCATCGTTGCACCATTGGAATGTTTCAGAATCTTTAGGAGATTTATTATTGTAACATCCCTGTGAGGTGGGGAATTGCAGTTGTATCCCTTCCATGGATTGAAATCGAAAAACACAGGAAGTTTTCAAAGGTCAAAAAGAAAGTCTGTTGTGGAGCTGGGGATTGAGGGAGTTTTCAAGTGTAAAGCTGTTGTGTTGAGATTAATATTATTATAGCCCTGGAAATGTTATCTGCTTTCTGACTTGCACAGAAAGGTTCTGGTTTTGAAATGCTGTTATTTTCATTCATTCTCAGCGCTAATTGGTAAAAAAATGGGAAGATAAACTTGTTTAATTTGTTTACATAGTTTTTCTTTTTGTTATTTTCTGGATGTCATTGATAAACCCAGAGCTAATGTTAAAAAACATCAAGTGAAAACATTTTAATCTAAATCCAATCCTAACTTACGGTATAGTTTTCCCGCAAAGCTCCAAGAAACATCTGTTCTGAGATAGTCTGATTTCACATGTATGTTAATTTTACTTTTACAACTAAGTTTTTGTTAGCACTACTGTTAAATAATTTCACTTAAGCTGCTTCTTTCTTTTTAAAATGAATTCTTTGCTAGACTACATAGGATGAATATTTCCTTCAATTGTAGGAATAAAATAACTTCCTGCTGCCAATGTAGAATTCTGTGATAAATCTGCACCCTTTAGTAAGGAGATGCTGTTCAGTGCAACATGTCTCTCAGCCCAAGGTATCATAAGCTGTCCTCCATAATGGTATCCTCTTCAGAGAATGCAGGATGTAGGGAACTGGGAAAACAAGGGAAAGGGTCGGGAGTGGGAGGTGGGGCTGCTTTGCTGTCTTTTCTGTAGACACATGAAACCTTAAGATTACATTTCTCTATGTTTGGCAGTGGATGTGTGTGATTTGTGCAGTGTGTGTCTTATGTGTGTGTGTTAACCCAGACTGGGAGACCCAACCCTGCCTCTTACGTGCGGACTCCATCCTCACCTCTCCAAGGGGATTGTGTGTCAGTTTTGGCATAGCACAGATGCAGTGGATCTTGGCAGCTAAGACTGCCCCTTCCCCTTCCAAGCATTTTTATATAAGGAAGAGGAGTGTGCTGGCCAATTTCAGAATTCTAGCACTGCTTTTAACTGTGAATTTCCAGAGTGCTTTCTATCTGTTTGTCAGTTTGGAGTTCGGTTAAATATTCATCCATGATGAATGAGCTGCACTTCTCAGGGATGTGTGGCTATTAGAGGCATTTAGGCTGACTTGAGAAAACTTGAAGCTGCAGATGAGCTTTTTACCACATTGCTCAGCATTTGGTACTCTCTGCAAGTATCTTCTATGAAATGGTGAAGGGTAAGACAGGTGAGACCAAATATTTATCTCTCTTTCAGGAGGAAGGTGCTTTTAGTCAGTGTTGTCTACTCTTTGGCTTCCCTTTCTCACTCCTATGCTTCTTGTAGGGTAATTGGTATGAAAAAGGAAAACCCAGAAAAATGGTTTCATTACAGTTTGGAGAGTTTTCAGTTGACAGTTTTTCAGAAATGTTGCTTTTGGAATTTTTGGCAGAGTTTAAGTTAGGGTGTTTTTATAATAATCATTGGAAAGTTTTATAGATCAGGTCTCATATTCAGAAACAAAAATCACAAGGTGAGAACTGAATCATCCAAGTTTTTTAAAACCTGGTTAGCAACTGTATATGTGATTGACTGGGTGTAAATGGCAAATACGAGATCTACACAAATACCAGTTAAATTTTGAATGGCCAAGACACTAGATTGAGCACTGCTTGTAAGTGCTTGTCTGTGAAGCTGAAGGCTGAGTGCCCTTTAAACATATAACTTGGGTTATTTCATTGCATTAATCCTTCTCAGACATAATTAAACAGGTGATGAAAAACAAATAGTAAATAACATAGTTGTCCTTTGTGTTGTAAAGAATAATGCTCAATGGTATTCATTCACGTAAGTAGTGGGAAACCAATTCATGTATTTCCTATGCTCGAACAGCTTAATATATCAGTTGTTGTGGTTCATCATTAACATCGTGGAAAGGACAGTGTGCTTTAAAATCCTAAATGGCAAGATATGCTTTGATAGAATGAGGCCAGCTCATAAAATCAAAAGGATAACATAATAAATATAATTTCAGAAACCTGAGCATGTCTACTACAGCTTTGCCCTCCTTCTGACTGTGGTGTTGATGTTGGCAGGCAGTAGGCTGTGATCGACAACTTGGGAGCAATGCCAAGGAAGACAACTGTGGAGTCTGTGCAGGAGATGGTTCAACATGCAGGCTTGTGAGGGGACAAGCTAAGGCACATGTCTCACCAGAAAAAAGTAGGTTGCAAACTGATCCTATTGTAATCTATCCTTGACTGTGTTTTCTGCTTGTGTATGACCATACATATTGCGAGGTGACCTTTTAACTATATACTTGTTTGCAGTTTTCAAAGCTACTTATTCTAAAGTCTGTGCTAGATTAGTCTGTTGAAATTCCATGAGGGATACCGCACATTAGGATATAGCTAGGAAAGAATCCCAGATATGCAATTTTTTAATAGAGCTACTGAATTCATTCTATCAGGAATAACCATCAAGATGCACATCTTATTTTGGAGGGTATCCTCGTGTTGCAATATATGTGATGCTGCAGCAATGTTTTTAAAGCATGGAAACATCTTATAGATGGCTTTATGGAAATTGTGGCCCATGACTGAAAGTGCGTGGTTTTCAACTTAACTTTCTTTTTTTTTAATTGTCTAAAGACAGTTGGACTTCAGAGGGAAGTTAACTGCTTGTATGCTACAAAAAGCTCAAGATGAAAGGGAGTAATACTCTTCTCTCTTTTGTGTGTTTGGCTCAAATTTTGCTATTCTTTCTCAGAATAACTAGCATCTTACTTTGTGTAACTGTAGGTCTCAGTAGTATTGAAAATACAAGAGAGGAGGGGTATCAGAATTAGACCCTTTACTGGAGTCTTAAGAGTGACAATATCCAGGCAAGGTTTGTCACATATAGGCCTGCCTCTAACACTTGTGCTTTCTGCCCTCCCGGATGATGTTCCTTGTAGTCTCCCAGCATGTGTCTCATGAGTTTATCATGTACGATAGTTACCTCACATCTGCTTTTTTCTGTTTCTGAACTCACAGTATGTATTTATCCTATAGAGATGGAGCCTTTGGCATTACCTTTCTGCAGAGCCACAAGATGCAAGGGTGGTGATCTGGTGCTCTTAAAGTGGATACTTAAAGTCCAAATGCAAGCAGCTGTTTGGTTTTTTGAATGGATGAAGCACCTGCCTTTGACAGATGCATATATTTTAGTACTGTTGTAGTTCAGCCAGCAAAGAATGTAGTTCAGTAATTTAAAAACTTTTTCATCCTGAACACCGAGCAAATGTCTTGAATGTTTACAATGAGAAGAAAATGAGTTTTCAGGGAAGGCCACTTTTTATTCACTTTGTGCTATCAAATACTCAGACTTTCTGGTCAGCACAGAACATGCACTTGTGAAGCAATAAAAACTGGATAATATTTTTGTGTGTATATATAGGGATATATATACACAAAATACCTCTTTTCCTTTCTCATGTGGAGGTCAGCTGGAACAGAAAGGAATTGCATTGTCTATTCCAGTTTTACAGCAACAGAGATTCTCCTGGAGGACAATTCCTGGGGACACCCTAGCTGTTTCTGAGGCAACCCAAACTAAACTTGTTGGATTGGCAAACGTGGTTGGATAGTTCATGATAAGTGAAATAAAAAGATTCACATTTAATTGCTGCTTAGTATGTAGGTATAGTAAAGACAAAGTGATAAAAGGGATCTGGTTTTGAAACTGGCATTGTGCAACAAAATATTAATTTCACTTGTGGTATTCTGGCACAGGTAAGAACTGACTACAGCTGACATCACTTGGTGGAAGATCTGCCATTGCCTTTACCAGGTTACGAAGAATACCCATGGCTAATTGTTTTCTCTGCCATAATTTGGTGGCTTTTTAAGAGTTATTTAAAATTAAAGATGAAGAAAGACTATTCTGGGGAAAGGTGTCAGTTATGTCAAGTTTTGTTTTTACCTTGCACTGCAGTAGGCTATATTATACGAATGAATTCCATTCACATAAACAAAACACTACATATGCTACTAAAATCAGAACTTTTACCCATTTTCTTGGTATTGTGATAGTGCCAAAATCTTTTCTGGGTCAAGCTGTTCAACACTACAGAAGCAGTTCCATATAATCATCCTCTGTGTGAATGAAATGTGGAAATAAAGCCATGCTTTCTTTGTGCTAATGTATCAGTGAAGGGAGACACAGTATCGTCCAAGTAGTCATTTAGAAGCTTTCAGAACTAGCTTTGAGAAGTAAAATATCAACACATGACAGACATGTATTTGAGAGGGAGCTTGTAAGGTTGTGAGCAGGATGTAAATTTTATTTTGCAATGAGGCAAATTAAGGAATTGGAAGGAAAGCAAGAGCCAAAGATTTTATTATGAAAAAAAGGAGACATAAGGGAAAATAAAAATGCCTAGTTATCTTGGTCCTTATTTTAAGAAAAGAAATCTAGGCATCAATAGCAAATGATCTCTCATAAAAGACCCACTTCAGTTTATTATCGTTTTTATATGTTTTTACATAAAATGAATACCTTTTTTGATCAAAAAGCTGAACAGCACTGAAAGCAAGCTTACTGTTTTGCAAATATGAAATGAACTGTCATTTCAAAAGTTCTTTATTTTTTCCACTAACACTTAATTGCCTTTGAAAGACAAAGTAAGTTAGACTTCTGCCAGCAAGCCAGATTCTAACATTCTGGTAAAATGATTAAAGGTTTGACTAATGATATTCAAACAAAAAGTGTAATAGGTTGTAAAATGTACCGTCCCATTGGGAAATGAGATATCACGGGCCTGATGTTTCTAGTACTATATGCATGGAACTCCCATTAACTCTACTGCACTTCTTGCACATGGAAAAATTGTAGGATTGGGCCCTTATGTCTGCTTTCTGCACCATTATTGGCAAGAAGCAGTAGGAAAGTGTTCTGGTTCTGATACCAAGGAAGAAGAAAAGATGCTGGTTCTGAAATTAACAGAGAGTGAAGTTGAAGGCACAGACTTGTCCTAATCTGGTCTTATTTGATTCTCAAACTGTTTGATATTTGCAAGTTTTATCTCTCTTAACTTTTGCTAAAAGCTTCATACAAAAGTTTTCAATGTCAATAGCTTTGTAACTGCTTGAATATCTCCTTGCCATGCATTTTGTTTCCTATGGCACTTGGGAATGTACCACTGGTCACTTACTGTTACATGTTGGTATGTCATCATCCCCAAGCACACTTAACTAAGAGCCTAATTTCACTTCGGTCATTTATCTAAACAGAGGCTTTCTGCAAGGCTCCCTGTTCAGTATCATCAGCTGGTTCAGTTTTGTAACAACTTGCTACCTCGCATCTTTTTCCTTCTTTGGAATCAATATATATGAAGCTAGTAACCCCCATTGTCAGGGTTACCTGATACTTCACTTTATATGAATGATTGTTTGCCAAAATTCAACAGTTGGGTCAGAAACTTTCCGTGTCAGGTGCTCAATGTTTTGGAGAAAACTCAGCCAAAACAACTCTGCATATTCCAAGGACACAGGAGAGAAAAACATGTTGTTTCCCACTGTCAAAACATTCCTGAAACCTTTTCTTTAGTATGTCTTAACATCCCCCATTGTTGGACTTGATCACAGATCAGGGATTTGAAATTTGGCAGGCATTGGTCTTCTGGTCATAGACAAGTCTTTCGCCAATATCTGTGAACATCAACACGTATTTTACTACAATCCCTTCAAAAAAAACCAAACCCCAAAACAAACCCCTTTTTCGTTCAGGCTCTGTAGAGGCTTCTTGAATGTTAACAGCTGTCATTTCTGAAAACTTGTCCCTTTAAGCACGTTTAGCTTTTTACACGTTCTAGCTGCAAACAAACCGTATGTGAGCTGTCTTCACAGAATAAATTAACACGTTGCTCTTCCAGAGCTAAGCTGTTAAAAAGCATCCTTGATGTTGCTTTTGCTTCAGTGTAGAATGGGTACCATGGGATAAATTCTATGATGGCTCCTGCCTCACTTTCAGGCGTTACAGAAGAGATTTTGGGCAGATCTCCTGACTCTCCTAAGTTTCAGATTTATGAGTGGGGATGAGGAGATCATTTGAGAAGAAGGAAAGAGACTAGATGAACAGAAAAAAAGGTCAGTTCATACAGTGAAAAAAGACAGATTTGAGAATATGTGAGGAGCACCTAGGACTGGCTGTACACATATGTTGGGTCAAGGAAAAACAGGAAGAACGAAAGACTGAGATTAGATAAGGAATCTGGGGTGGGAGATGGAGTCCGAAACACTTGGGAGAGGAAGGAGAAAAATCAACTGTATGTAGAACTAGGAGAGGTAGTTGGGACTGGTTTGGCAGGAAAACTGTGTGGGGAGAGATAGAATGCCAATACTTTAGCATTTCAGTTTGGAGTATGTTTTTTGAAGCAAATTTCATTATGGTCCTAACATACTGCTCATAGTTCACATCATGGAGTGGTCTTTTTGTTGAATGAAGCTAAAGCAGATGATGTGCCCCAGAAAAGCACCTGATGTTTTCCAGGAGCTACTGAATATTCAGTCTGTGGGATCAGACTAATGTTGGTCCAAGGTGAAGCACCTGCAGTGTGTATAGTGTGGATGCTGGGTCTTCAGCACCAACTATTTCAGTCTACAGATCCGTTTAGTTTGGTTGGTTTACTTGGAAATGTTATAGGTAGTGTGAAGTCTCCTTCACTACTTTCCTGATCTCTCATGTCTTACTTGGAGATACTCATGTGTAAGAACATTGTCTATTTCATTATTTATTTCACACTGCACTTTCTTGAGATGCATTTTCTTGATGGGCTGCTTACTGTGTGTCTTTGAACATTTTCTCCAGTGCAAACAAATTTTAGAAGAGGTGTCCAGAAGCAGAATGAAGTACGTAACCAAAATGAGTTGTGGTCACACTGTCTCAAGCAAATGACCATACCTTAGAAATACTTACCCAACAGTGCAAAGAAGTGGCATGCTCAGATGAAGAGACAGCCTTAAGTGGTAAAATCAGTGGGTAGAGGGATTGAGGTCCAGAGGAGTGGAGGAGTGTGAGACCGAAGAGAGAAAGACTCAAGAACAGAAAGGATGTGCTCATACAGATTTTTGCAATGTGACTCTGAGTAGCCAACACTGATCTAGTTCAGGTGTCTCTTAAAGGTTATCTATATGGCTTTGCCCAGATTCTTCTTATGAGGCAGCTCAGCACATACCCCAGAACCAATGGCCTCTGAAATTATGCCTAATGTTAGAGTGGATGGGGGAAGCCACCACAGTAAGACTCCAAACTTTTTGAGCTTTTTGTTTCCCTTGTGCTGTTAGTTGTTCCTGGACTATTGTTCTTTGTGTTTTGAGAGTACATAGGTCTTCAATCAGAACCAAGAACCTGCAGATAAGTGCTGAGCGAATACATGGAAAGAAACAGTTTTTATAGGCCTGAAATAAACCCTCTGCCCTGCTGTAAGAGGAGAGAGGGAAAAATCCCAACTGGCCCATATGTGAAACAGTAAATGGGTCCACCATGGCCCACATGGAAAAATAAATAAAACTTGCTGAATTGGATTGAACTCAGGAATGTGGCTCCTTTATTTTGATCCTGGGGATTAGCTCCCAGTCTTACCATAGCAGGGAGTCTGATCTTGCTCTCATTGAAATCCAAAATCTAAATCCACATTAACACCATAGAAACAGGATCAAACCTTGCCATCTAGAGTAAAAGCAAACCAGGAGCTTAATCAGCAAGTGCTTTGTGTAGCATGTGCACACTTGTTTGCTGAGAGACTCCCCATGTAAGAGCAGGAAGCCCATTTTGAGCAGGTGCTGGAGAAAGATGAACCAGATGCCCTCGGGAATCCATACAGTGAAAGCAGTGTTAGAATAAAGAGACAGTATCTCACCTGTTTCTCAGTTTTTAAGATGAGATTTATGACTCTAAAATCGTATTTTATGGTCTAGTGTTTCTGCATATTCCGGATGATTTGGGGATTATTTGTTTTCAGCTTTAGACAAAGGTTGGCACTTAACTTTCAAAGATACATAAATAGTATAAGGTGGGGGAGATAACTGGAGATTTTAAGTATAGATTTCAGAATAGCAGTTTCCCCTTATGTTTTCATAAGAGTTCACTGCTTTTAACAGTGTAGATCCTACTGATTTAATGGGAAATGTGCAACATAACCATTTTTAAATGGGTTTACAGGACCTTGTTCTCCTTTAAGAATATGAATTATGTGCTTCAACTGAGAACCAGAGACCTCTGGAATATATAGTTTTGGAGCCAGACCTGGACAATCGTAACTACTGTTTCATAGGAATTTAAAGCTGTCCTCAGGAGAAGGTGGAGTCCCTTAGGTCAGTTCTGCCCCGTTTTCTTCCAGTTCCCCATCTCAGTTCAGAATTCCAAAAATCTCACTTTTATTTTTTCCTATAATTTACTTCATCTCATGGAAGGATAGAGCAAGGTCATAATTATCTCAGTCAGGTTACAAGAATCTTTTGTCTGCTTTCAGACTTCTTGACAGGTCTGCGGGGGTGCAGAGGTTGAACATTGCTGTGGTGGTGAACTTAGTCATCTCCTCTAACGCAAATAAAATACTTTCTGGTAATATTGTCTCTGCCGCAAAGAAACACCAAATTTAGCACCCCCGTGAGACTTTTGGACCATATCAGAGAGTGCTTCGGAGAGGGTGGAATGTCTGTAGTATTATTAAAGGAATGTGAAGCATCCTGAAAAGGGATCAACAAGGCCTGCTGAGGCGAGTGGAGCTTGCTGTAAGGAGGTTGGAGGAAGTAAAGCAGAACGACCCTGGTTGTTCTCAAGAGGAGCAGTCCTACACATCTCTGCACATCTGCAAATCCCAGCCTCATCTGTTCAGCACAGAGTGCCCTTGGTTCCACTTCAAAACAGCAGTTGCTTTATTCAGAGCTGGTCATAAGCAGACTCTTATTTGAGGTTTTGTGCCGTAACTGCTGGTTGGTTGTCAAGACAGGATACAATTCCTGACCAAGTAGGGACAGATGGGCCCCTCAAACCTGTTTTCTCTCAAATACTGTAGAGCACATGAATTCAGTAGTTATTTCCTTACTTTAAAGATACGCACATTCGCTACCTTCTGGCTATCTTTAGCAATTCGGCTGATGAAAAACCAAGATGCAAAAAGATATTAAGTGGTTCAGTAGTTAATGTTTTTTCCAGGGCTCCGTAGCTGTATTATTGTTCTTACTGTAGTATTTTTCACTCTGGTGGAATACCCAAGTATGAAATTAATAAAGATCATATTTTATTACATCCAAAATAAATTGTTATATTTAAATGTCCTTCCTAGAAATTGGCGATATAAAAACTGTAACATAAGAAGGTGTTTATTTCAGAAAAAATAATTGCAGCATTTGCTTGAAGTATCCTGAACATTTGGCAGGATTTCATACTTATGCTAAGGAGATGTAAACCAGAAGCTGATAATTTAGCATCTACTATAAAAGGGTCTGGTTTAAAGTGGAAAGAAACATTCTTCAACTAATTTTTAGTTAAAACTAAACTCAAATATTCTTCCTTTAAATATTGTGTGAGTAGTTCTGGAGCCAGTGCATCACTGACCTTCAACTCACATTACTTTTTGAATTTGAAAACTGAAGTTCCTCAACACCCGCCCCTAGATACGTGTTAATGCTGTCACTGAGCAGAGCACTCTCCTGCAATGGGCCCATGTTTGCAGGTCTTGCCTTGAAGATTTGCAGCTGAGCTGTGATGGAAACAGCAAGTTGGCACTTCATTGCTTGGAGACTTCTCTCGTTCTTTTGTGGATATCACTGTTGTGCACTGTGCATATACTTTTCTGAGAGTGCTGCCTTGCTGGCATGAAAGACTCTGGCCTATTGATTCGACTGTTAACTCAGTTTGCTTGGGCAAATCACAGATTTCCTACAGTTGAAATGGAAAGTAATAACTTTCTGCCTTTGTAAAGTGCACTGAAGTAAGTGTGTTGAACATTTATATATGAAGAGGCCATTCAGGCAGCCAAAAGCTGTTTTGTATTGACATGTCCTATTGAGGGCTGGTTTGTTTTATAGTTAATTTTAAATTGAGACTCTTACTGGAAGGAATGATCTTATATCGTATGTTAGATGCAGACGCTCTGTTATAACATATGCGTTATAGCTAAAATATATTTGCTCTTAAGTGGTCTGTAATTGGTTAAGGGTTAGTGTTAAGTAGATGATTTATTTCCTGTAAGTCCTGCCACTTATTAAAGTTGTGACCTGCAGCAGGAAATGAGGTGTGGGCAAAATGAAACTGAACAGCTGCAGATTTTTGTAAGGGGGAAGTGCTACTTAGCAGATTCCTTATGTCAATTCAGTGATTAGGAAATAAAACTAGGACAACAGAGTGTAAATATGTTCCTAATACACTACTGACATTTCAGTTGTTTTTGTTAATAGCAAATAGTTTTCCAACAGCAAGAAAGATTTACAAGTACATTTGTAGCTCTTACTAGTTGCATAGCATAACAAACAGACTCAGTATACTGTACTTAATAAAATCACATATGATTATTTTTCATAGAAAAATTGTGAAACCTGTTAAATATTTTCTTAGACACATTTGACAGTTTTCAGTCTAGTTACGTGATGTGCAAATTCCCTGATGCAAGATAAGTTCTAAAACAGTTCTTTAATTTTCCTAGGGGAAGAAACCGTGATTGCCGTACCACATGGGAGTCGCAGTGTGAGAATTACCCTGAAAGGACCAGCACACCTTGGTATGACTGAGCTGTTTTATGTATTTATTTATAGACAGAAGGTAAAAACAGAACCTTGTATCTGAACTCATGCAAACTTTGGGAACACATCGTGACCTTGATTCCTCTTCTTATCTTTAATATCTAGCATGTAGGTATTCCTAGAGAACACTGGAAGTTCTCTTAGTAAAAAAGAGTGCACATACTGGTGGTTTCTAAATTTGTTTAAACCAAGTAATTCTTATATAAGACATCTAAAATACAGTGCACTCATAAGCTACATGCAAACAATTACATGAAAATTACTTTCAAGAGGCTGTGTGTGGGATTGGTAGCACTTGTATAACCCAGCACCAGATTTCTGCTGAGGAGTCTGAGATAGCATAAATAGTCCAATTGAAGTAACACTTGGTCAGTGAGCAGTGATGCAGGAAAAGCAGTCTAGGTAAATATGAGGTAAGGGGTTTTTTTAATAAAATAAACCATGCAAGACCTGTTTCAATGTAATACTTTTGGTCATTACCTACCATCTTCGAGAAACAGTTTGCTCTTCTCTGACATCTGTTTCCTAATATTTTTTGTAAGGCTGATGGTTGTATCTGTGGTGATTTCTTTACCTATAGGCCTACTTTACAAAGACCTAATCTTTTCAATGATAAGTGGTACTGCCATACCAAGTAGTGAAATACACCATTCCTTAATGTTTTGAGTAATTTTTTTTATCAGTAGTAGTGGAAGACTTCGTCTGAATCATAGAAATAAAAGGACTTCTATTGGTCTGAGTAAATAGAAGACAAATACATTTTATTTGAAAATTGCTCATCTATTGGTTTGCTTTGAATATATTGTTACTCTCTCTCATAGAAGAATTTAAAGACTTTCATTTTAGAGAAGCTCCAGAAGAACAGTAACTTATAACACTGAGATCAACAATGTACAAAGCTGAACTTACCTTGAAATAAATAATATTAATGTAAAACTGTTGCAAGGGATGTATGAAGGAGTGATCCTGACCAGTTCAGGTCAGGACTCTTGGTCTTTCTTAAGTAGTTCTGCAGAAGGAAGTTGTTGATTCAGCTTTGTATAAGGAAAAAGAACTAGGTTCAGTGGCTCCTGAGGGATTTCTGGAAAGCTCCTGAGGAATGCAACAGCAGCTTTGTAACGAAGTACAGAGTGCTCCTGGCTTCCTACCCAGGGTGGTTCTGTCAAGAAGCTGTGGCTTGGCATTACCTTTGTCAGCTAGTTCTCTTTCTTGCTGGACGAGAATTGTGAAATGTTCCTTTAACCACTTCCCCCAGCACATCTGTTTGCAAATCTATGAGGATTTAGACATTTGTTACCTACAATTTAAAACTAAAATTGCAGAGGTGAAAAACAAGTGAGAGCTGTTGTGGGGAGGGAGGTGGAAATGGTTTCTGGCTTCATAGACAGATCCTCAAGAACTGATGTTCTAGAGGATGTGCTTTGGGAAAATTTGCTTGTGTGCCTTTGTGACTGTATGTATGTTTGTGGATGTTTGTCACTTAACAGAAAATACCAAGTGATCTTCGTTCTGCAGCTTCATTGACTTCTGTGTGGGTGTGCTGGTATAATGAGAGGCAGAATTTTAAAAACATCTCCTATAATTACAGGCTCCATTTGTCAGAGTTGTTCTTCCTGGCTTGTAAGGAATTGAATTTAAGAGGTAGAGCACGGACTACTTATTGTAGAATTTTATACTGCCTCCTGTTGCCAGTATATATTTGCTCTTCAAGTAAAGTCAGCAGCTGAAACGCTCGAAGAGCACGATGGAGTGTCTGGCACTTTTCCCTTTATCTTGTGTTCTTTTGTGCTTCATCCTGGGCTTTATGATCTGCTCTTGTTCCAGGAAAACACAGCTGCTGGATTAATCAAAAATGGAAATGTGGTTGGAGATGTAGCGCATAACAGATTTGAAACAAATAAATGCTCTGAACATTGTTTTACAATCAGCAGCTTAGTGTTGTAGGGAAGACTGCATTTGTTTGTAGCTGGTAAGACTAAGTATTTTGTTTGTGTGTTATGGACACCTTAAGACAGGCAACAGATTTATTGGAGAGCAAAGAGTGTCACTCTGGGTTTTTTCTTACAAATAGGTCCCTCTTGTACTTCTGTCTTCTTGGGTTTGGTGAATGATTTGGTGGGAAATAACCAAGTAATTACTACAAAAATGGTTACAAATAGACTATTTCATTGTGTTGGTTTTGGTTTTGATTTGGGCTATATTATGGCTTTTCTAGCAGTTGTTTTAAGACCATTAGAATCAAAAGAAAGACTGAAAGTTCCCTGAAATTAATCCTCCAGCAGAAGAAACAGGAAAACCAGAAGCTAATATTTTTACAAGTGGCTAATGCTAGATAACTGAGTTCATGAACTTAGGGAGGTTAGCTTCACCAAAAGGAACTGAAACTTTCTTCCCTTTTTGTCAATATCTTTGCTGCTTGCAGGGGTTTGTGTTACTTGACAATGTTTAGTTGTACATCTATGCACTGAATTGTCTTTTGAGGAAGACAGTGTTGCTTGCATTTTAAAAAGATGTATTTTGAGTCTCTGTAATGTTCTATCTACAAATGAAT